TCTTTTCCTCAAGTTACCCTCTTTCAAGAATGCGATCCTGTTGTTCTGGTCACCGCTGCCAAACGCAGGCACGAAATCTAAAGTTGAAATAACTCTCGCCGCTAGGCGCGGTTGGCCTTGGGGAAACCGTGGACAAGAACGCCCAGATTGGCCAATCAATCAATTATTATCCCTCATCGATACGAATGCGCGATTCCAGGTGAGTCCTTTGGCGGCTCATGCTGTGGGTAGTCCCAAACCTTCCACGGCTGTGACTTAATTGTGAGCAGGTTCGAAGGATATGGGCTTAAGCTAAGGCCAGTATCTCTTTAATTATTTATTTATTTATTTATTCGCCACATGGTTGTTTTTCTATTTTTTAATACATGTACTTTTTGTATTTATTTATATATTTATTTATGTGTAAGGTTGCATCGTATAAGGTGCAAAGTATTACAGTTCCTTTCTTCTTTTGTGGCTACCGAGCGCGCTTCTCAATTGAAGCCACCAGCAGGACAATGTTCGTAAAATTAAATGCTGGTATTGATGTACTAGGGGAAACCATTATCTATTAACTGGACATCTTGTTAATTGGAAAATCCCACGAGATTAATTAAGCTGTCGTCTTTTTTTCATTCCATTCTTTTATTTTATTTTGTGCCTTTCCGTTGTGGCTATAGTCTATGTTTAATTGTCATTACGATCATAGGTTTTCTTATTAAATTACAACGGTTAACTTTCTACTGTCATTTCTATTTATGCATCAACTGGAAGCGGTTACAGTCAAGACTTAAATTATTTCTTATTGGTACACAATAATACACTGTTTTACATAAGAAAATATACCCTGGGTCTATTGTGTAGCGGTTAGTCGATTAACCCTTGCTCGCAGAAGGCAAGAGTTCGAATCTCGTATTAGAAGCATTTTTATCGAGTAGCCTACCTCGGTCTTTCTGCTTGGACTTTGTATTCCTCCCTACCTGGCTTGGCCCCGAAATGTAGTGTCGAAACCCACCTTTGAAATCATCTAAATTGTATCGATAGGGGCTTGAAACACCGACACAATAAAACTCAATTCAAACAAAACATTAAAAAATTCAGTAAGTTGGACCTGCAGCCTTGCTCGAGTTTGGAGCTCGAGAAAAGCAAATAGGAACCTTGAGTATTACCCGCGAGAGGGGTTCCCCTGATCTGACCTTTAATGGAATTTGGGCGACAAGTTGAGCGAATGCAAATCGCCTCTGGATCTTTGTAGTGTTGGTCGTTCCTCTAGGTCTCTGAACCCTTTCGGAATCTCGTCTATTCCTTCTCCTTATATTGTTCTGTCTATCATCTCTTCCCCCTTCTCACTCACCCCCCCC